AAGCTTCCCATTCTTCATCCAGCTGAATGCTGGCGTGTGCAGCGCAGAGCTGTGAGGCCTTTGCACGCTTCTTTGGTGAATGTGTGGATCGTGACTTCCCAACTGCAATGAAGCCGTGGCGAATGATGCTATACTCGGACAAAATAAGTCCGGGTAACCAGCTGAAGCATTGCAATCGCAGAAAAACACAAACGATCTACTACAGTTTCATGAATTCCAGGCTGCTGCTTTGGGATCGGAGTACTTGTGGTTCACGCTCACGTGCATCAGAAGCACACTGGTGAATGAGCTTGGCGGAATGACAGCCGTCTTTCGACAGATTTCGGATGTCTTCTGCAGGAGCCCTGTTTTCAGCAAGGGATTGCCCATCAACATACATGGGAGGCCGGGAGGGCTGCTTTTCTTCAGCAGAATCGCTAGCACGATCTCTGACGAAGCTGCGATCAAGGCAGCCCTTGCCAACAAAGGGGCCAGCGGTTTGGTTTTCTGTTGCCTTTGCCAGAACTGCGTGGACCACAAGAATGCAGTGGCTGAGGCTGGAGAAGGAATGGTATCCTCATTGGAAACAGACATTGCCAGTTTCGCCTTCACACCCCAGATTCTATACGTGACACGCTCGATTTTCTGCGAAGGGCATCGGAGGTGCATCCGCAGTCCTATGTTGAGAGGTTGACAGCCTTTGGTTTTAACCATCGGCCAGACGGGCTTTTAAGCCATCCGGCGTTTGGAGCTGAAGTCATAACCACTGTCACGTTTGATTGGTTCCACATCTACTGCGTGCACGGCGTCGCAAACATCTGCACGGGCCAAATGCTCGACGCCCTGCGGAGCGGCGGCTGGACACACCAACAAGTTGACGATTTTGTGTCCAGCTTCCACTGGCCTCATCGCCTGAGCGGCGCAGCACCCAAGAACTTGCTCCAGAAGCGCAGCGTGGGAGACAGGTTGACAGGCTCGGCCTCCGAATGCCTCAACTTCGTTGTGGCCCTGCGTGTCTTTCTGGTTCTCTTTGTGATGCCAGCGTGCCCAGAGAACATGCGCGCCAAATGCAACGCCTGGCTGCAGCTGGCAAAGGTTCTGGACATGCTCGCAGTCGTGAACTCTGGCAAAATCACGCCAGTGACTTTGCAGGCCCAGATAAAGGCTCATTTGGACGCCACCCTGCAGGTGTATGGATCCGAGTGGTGGATTCCCAAATGCCACATGGCGCTCCACCTTCCACACCATCTCAGAGCGCATGGCATGTTACAAAGCTGTTTTGTTCATGAAAGAAAACACAAAATCGTGAAAAATATAGCTAACCAGATGTTGGATACCAGCAAAGCTTTTGAAAAGTCCATACTTGAGGACATTCTGTTTAGCCACATAGGAAACCTGGACGACCTCAGATGGCAGGGTTCATCTGTTGGACCCCATCCGGCCAGCCCCCGCCAGGCTCCGAAATGAGATTCAACAAGCTGTGGGCAGCACAGGTGAGGTGCTTCACTCCTCTGCGGCCGTGCATGGTGGCGGGTACAAGATTCACATGAACGATGTGGCGGTGATCCAGATGGGCACGGTTGTTGGCAAAGTTCATTATGACGTCATGCTGGATGATCATGTTTGGACATGTGTTTCGGTGTGGCAGCATGTGCATGGCTTCATGTACAAAGTCGCTGATGACCAGCTCATGCTGGTGGAGACGATGCGCATTCGCGACACATGCCCTTTCAGCCTCAAGGATTCAGACGCAATTGTCGTGTTGCCAGCTCGCGTGTGAAAAATGATTGGTGCTCGCACGCCATGCTGAACCAAAAGCTCCTTCACCAAACCGCATGATGTCATGCATGTAAATATATATGCGTGCACGAAAATCACATGCGCTGCCAGCCGCTCGCAGGGCCATGCAGGCTCGCGAGCAGACAAAATTTCATGACACGCAGTGTTCCCCGCGCAAGATACAAATCCTGACATGAAGACCGTGGCACCTTGATGCACGCATAGTTGAAACTCACACTGCCATGCGAGCATTTATCCTGCTGGCGTGTAAGTGAGCACATGATGCTATTTATTCACGTACAAACCTGTTCATGCATGCATGGTAGAAACTCAAACTGCCAGCGAGCATTTACCCTGCTGGTGTCTTGTATTTCGGCACATGGTGCACGCCGTGTGTATATATGCACATTCTATATAAAGCTATATAATAATATAGCGTTTGGGGTTTTGGATTCATGCTGTTCAAGCTGACGCAGCCTGCATGCTGAACAGACATCTGCATGCCCTGAAGCGTGAAACATCATGTGTATACAGACGCTCTGGCCCAATGTACCTGAGCGCAGGTCCCACTGAGTGTATATATACATGATCCTGGCTGACTTGTTGGTATAGACCTTGAGAACTTGGCGGACTTACCTAAGTGGCAATGTAAGTTGTATAAGTATAGATACGTAACTCACTTTCTTAATTCCAGTATGTAGGATAGCTAAGTCCTTCAACTAGTTAATTACCCAGCCATCTAGTTAATTAACCACCCGCCCCTTCAAGTAGTGTTTCACTCACCAACTTTTGGGGAGCTCGAAGCTCCAGTTCAACAGCTAACGCAGACATATGCAGACAGACAGATATATGCAGACACACAGTGTTGAACTTATCCCTGATGATCCCAGGCATACCTAACTAATTAGAAGATTATTAGAAGCAGTTCTTGTAATTTGACAGCTGCTGCTGCTTCAGCTAGTCCCTGCTACTATGCGGGAGATAGTTGGCAGTGAGTCGAAATCCCGTGCCTGATGGCCCGCACGGACAAGCCTCTGTTACATACCCTTGAAACGCGGGGCTTGTTACATACCCCTTGTCGCGCGT